GAATGGTAGTGTAGTAACACTGACCTCCCCCAGGGAGTGTGGAAGAAATTAATTAGGGTTTGCAAAATGACTTGCTGGCTAATGCTTTGTAAGTGGCCAACAATGACAGCATTCCATGGCATTGTCCCGCACATTCCTTGCCTGTTGTCTCTGACTGACAGCCCAGGTACCATTCAGAAGCATTCAGTCAGAAGATGAGCAGCTAAAACTCGAAGCTACATCATTTCCCAATGATGTGGCCCAACCTTCATTGTTAATGATAATGAAACTTGCTATTCAGCAGGTATCTTGTGGGGAGCCAGAGTCCTCACTTGGTCATCATTTAGGCCATGATTGGCTCAAAGTGAATGTAAATAGCAATTGTTTCTGTTTCAACCAGAAACCCTGAGGGTCTTCCCCTTCCAGATTGATTTTTTTTTTTGACTAGGCAAAAGAGGTCATTCTCTGCTTCATTTCTTACCTAGCCTTAATTACCAAATGGGCATTGCCTTAGTCAAACTGAGACCCATTAAAGACCTTAACTTACAAAGGCCAAGGTCTCCCACTGCATCTCTAGTTGTCTAGGGCCATCTCTAGTTGTCCTGATCTATATCTTGCAAATGGACCCAGAAGGCTCTGGAGGAGAAAGTGAGACTGGTGACTTTGCACAGCCCTCCTTCGTTTAAATCCTATTCACTCACTTGTATGTCATAGCATCACCTCCCTGATGTCATGGTCCTCTTGTGTGGAGCATTAGAGGGAAGGCAGGAGATACTCTTACACCAAAAACATGGGCTGAGTAGGTGGTATGATTTGAGGGACTCCAAAACGGCCATTCACCTGGGAAAAAAAAACTCCTTAACCAGCCTTCCACGGTATCTAAAATTATTGACATTAATTATTCCTTTGGAATAATTCATCAACATAAACTATTCAGGAGTCCAGTAACATGGGGAAGGGGTGGTGTTCTTAGCCATCAGCATATTGCAGGAATCCATGGATCTGATAAGCTAGCTGTCATCTAGCATGGCCCTGAAAGGACAGAAACACTGGATATGTAAGGTCTTATACCAAGGGGAGAAGAGAATCAAGGAAGATTTGGAATCGGGGACACTGAGATAGGCTACAGAATTGTGCTGTAAGTCAGAATCCTACACTAACCAGAGGTTCCTTGCTTGTTGTGAAAGAGGAAGTCACAGAGAGGGATTATTCAACTTCTGAATAAATATTCAGAGGGCCAGCATGGCTCCCTGTAGATTTGTAAACTCTTTAAACCTCAGAATAAATGTTTAAATTTAGAGGGTTTAAGAAACAAACAAATTTCAATTAATTAACAAACATTTATTAAAACCTTATTATATGCCAGGCACTATGCTAAGCGATGAGTATACAAAGTAAGGCAAACATAGTCCCTGCCCTCAAAGAGCTTACATTTTAACGATGGAGACAACAAGTAAACAAATAGGTACGTACATAATAAATACAAAGTAGAAGGAAGATTACCTTAGAGGAAAGGATTCTAGCAACTTCAGGGGAAAAGGGGGGAACAAAAAAAGGCCTCCTAGCAGGAGGCATTTGAATTGAGTCCTAAGGGAAGCCAAGGTCACCAGAAGGCTGAGGGGAGAGGGGAGAGCATTCCAGGCATGGGGGACAGCCAGTATACAAAGTCAAAGAAATGGGAGATGGAGAAGAGTATTTAAGGAACAGCAAATAGACTACTGAGGATGAATTGTTGTATATATGGAGGGAAGTAAAGTATAGAAAGACTATCAAGATAGAAAAAGCCAGATGGTACAGAGTTTTAAATACCAAAGGACTTCCTTATATTCATTCCTAGAGGTCACTGAGAATCACTGAAGTTTATGGAGTAGGAGGATAAAATGGTCAGTCCTACATTTTAGGAAAATTACTTTTGCAGTTTGGTCAGAAGATAGATTGGAGAAGAGAGACAAGTCTGAAAGACCAATTAGAAGGCTATTTCAATTGGGACACTAATGTACTGTTGGTGGGTTCTTGAACTGATCCAACCATTCTGGACAGCAATTTGGAACTACAGTCAAAGGGTCATCCAACTATGCCTACATTTGACCCAGCAATACCACTGCTAAGACTATCCCAAAAAGATCAAAGAGAAAAAAAAGGGGGGGGAGGGCATATATGTACAAAAATATTTACAGAAGCTCTTTTCGTGGTAACAAAGAACTGGAAATTGAGGGGATGCCCATCAATTGGGGAATGGCTGAACAAGTTGTGGTATATGAATGTAACGGAATATTATTGTGCTATAAGAAATGATGAGCAAGATGCTTTCAGAAAAACCTGGAAAGACTTACATGAACTGATGCAAAGTGAAGTGATCAGAACCAGGAGAACATTGTACATAGTAACCTCAATATTTCACAATGACTGACTGTGAATGACTTAGTTAATCCCAGCAAAAATCTAAGACAATTCTGAAGGACCTATGATGAAAAATGCTATCTACTTCCACAGAAAGAACAAGCAGAATCTGAATTCAGATCAAAGCATACTGGGTTTTTTTTTTTAACTTTATTTTTCTTGGGGTTTTTTGTCTATTTTTTTCCCGCAATATGACTAATATGGAAATGTTTTGAATGACTGCACATGTATAACATTTATCAAATTGCTTGCCTTCTCAATGACAGGGGAAGAGGAAGGAGAGAAGAGAATTTGGAATCAAAATTGTAAAAAAACAAAGATTAAAAATATTTTATAGGTAATTGGTAAAAAAAAAAGATTTTAAAGGCTATTTCACAGATGGAAAATTGAGGTTCCAAGGGGGGGGCAATCTAGAGAGAGATAGTGGCCTAAGTGAAATGGAACTTAATCAAAAGCATTATCTTCCAAGGAAGGCTCTTAAGGTCTTCTTCTGTCCGTAAGGTGGTATTTAAAGTAAGGACAAGATAGAAGCTATCCTGCTTTTTTTCAGAAGGGCTTGAAACAATTCTTTGGCTATCATCTCCTCTCCCCCACAATTCCCCCAACATACTTCTCAACTTCTCCAAATGCAATAATTGAAACAAAGCATAGAAGTTCCACATGCTTCTTTCCCTTCCTATTCCTCCTTCATTATTACTAAAAGGAACCCTGAGTGTTCCCTTTGCATCTTGATGATAATAGTAGTATCTGAGATGGAAATAGGAATTTAGATCTGTGACTTCACTGATACAAGGAACTCCATCTACCAATTCAAGTTGGCACTTTCTCTGCAATTTGTAGTCTTGGTTATGTAGAACTCTGAAAGGTTAAGAGTCTTGTCCATGATCACAGATAGTAGATTTCAGAGTTGGGACTTGAACCCAGGTCCTCTTGACTTCAGTGCCAGCTCTCTCTCCACTAAACCATGAATATCTATAGCAAAAACATGATGTGTCTATAGGGCATTGCCTATGGCTACCAACACAGCAGCCTAACAATCTTCCCAGCTCTCAGGAGGATCAAGGAGTTAGTTTCATCATATATCCACAAGGAAACAAGAAGTATTTCATGTCAGATTTGATCATCTCCATTTATAGTGGTTGAATTGAGTATAAGCAAGCAGTTCCCTATGAAGATAATTTCATCAATAGATGCCAACATCTATTGCAGGTGATGAAGTTCTTCACGGAATTTCCCTACTTGACAAGATAATACAAACTAAATATACTCTAATATTCTAATATATGCTAATATTCAATTATTTCAATGTGAAAGTGGGCACAGGATGGGGCAGTGAAGACTAGTAGAGGATGAAGAAATGAAAGAGGGCAAAATCTTGTAGGACAGTTAGAAGCCTCTCTCATGTACTTGATGAATTCTCTTTAAGCAAAGAGTTGGAAGGTGTTAAAAATAGCAAGTACCAAAGTACATAATTTTAAAATGAAATTGATTATGCTAACAGGCCAGACATGAATGGATATAGTTTTAGCTAGCAGGGTTTTTTGGTTTTTTTTTTTTTTTCAGAATCAGTTCTCTTCTTGCAATCAGATAGTGGATTGACTGAAATAAAGGTTAAAGTAAACACCAAAGTAGAAGACCTGATAGTGATGAGACATCAAACCAGACAATCTGGTTTCTCTTCTTTAGATACGCTCTAGTTGTCAGTGTCAATTATGGTCTCTACACACAGTCTAATCAACTCAGAGTACAAAGCACAGTATCACTCTTGTATCACCTAGTATTACGCCTTGTATTATGTATGTACAGATAACACATATCTTATATATATACATACATATATTACATAAAACAGACTTCTAAAGACTTATCTAGCAAGCTTTGGACAGTTGTGATGCATATGGGTACAATCCTCACACTGAGGAAATCTTACAGATTCTTGATTTATTAATATAAGATGACAATATTCTAGTTTAACTTTTTTTTGTCCATAATAGTACATTGGGTCAATGTCTGCCAAAATAATATAAAATAATCTACAATGGCTTGTAGTTTCCTTTACTGAATCATAATTCCAATATATATGACTACATTATGATTCTCTGCCCCCTCCCCATGCATTATGTCCAACTTGTCAGCCCTTAGTCACCTGTCAGTTATCCATCCACTCAGGCAGGCACAAGCAATCCTCCTGTAGTTTATCCCTAATGCCTTAGCATTTTACTGAGAGAGCTTAACAAATTTGTATTGCTTGAATACTTTGTAATCATGAATGTTTTACTGGGCACCACCTTCACTGAACATTTATTTTAAAAAGTTAAGGAAGATAACTACATTGGAGCAATTTAGGGTTCACTGACACATGCAGGGCTACTTGGTGTCTGATTAAAACCTCTTAGTAACTTAGTTTTTTTTTTAAATAGCTCTTCTTACTACGTGATATTAAATTTAGGCAATTGAATACAACTGACCCATTTGACACGAGAGGAAACTGAGGCAAACAGCTGTTAAGTGACCTGCTTAGGGCCACACAGTAAGTATCTGAGACAGAATTCAAATCCAGGCTTTCTTACTCCAATTCTTTATTCACCACATTCTGTCTCTTATACGTCACTTTAACAAGGTTTTTTGAAAGTGTGAATCACCTGTATCCACAAGTATATTTGTCCCCCGAGGAGAAAGTGAAGAAGTTTTTTGTTTGTTTGTTTTGTTCTGTTTTGTTTTTAATTTAGGAACTGTCATTTCTTTCATAGAAGGAGCTCTTGGTGAGGAATTTCCTTTACCAAGGAACTTATTCGAGCATGATTTACCTTGACAAAGGAAGATGTCCCAGGGAAGGGTGGAAGAAAACTTCACCCTCTTTTGGAAACCAGCAATAAGACCGGTGGTGATCTGAGAGAGCTAAGTTCTGGGCAGTTAATGGACATAACAACTTGTTGCTTACCACCTGGCCTCTTTAGTCCAAGGGGGGCGTGTCTGCTTGTTTCCCTGAGGTGAGGTGATCTGCACAGTGACTTACCCAGCCCCTGCTCTTCTGTGGTCCACAGCTCAGTTCTTTAAGCTACCTTCCCTACTGGCACTTCTTTACAGGGCGGGCTCTGATAGGGAGGAGACACGTCCCGGTGAGCTGTGCTAGGGCCCAGCGCCCAGGAAGGGGAACGCCCTCCTGGCTTTGGGTGCTCTCCAGTCCGCCACTGAGAGCGCAAGGATATTGCCGGTGGGAGGTGGCTGTGTAAAAAGGCTGCCTCTGAGGAGCAGCTGAAGCTCAGCCGCGACCTCCTCCAGTCCTGGTCCTCAACTTCTGGAGGAGCAAATGTACCCCTGCACCAGAACGCGCGTCCCTTCCCCCGGGTGAGCGCCAGTAAGAAGAGCAGGAGACTCCGGCCGGCGGAGAGCTGTGGAGACGAGTCGCTAGGAAGATGGAGACTCAGGAGTGCCCAGCGGGGGCGGAACCAGGAGTCAAGGAGCCTCAGCTGCCCAGACAGCTGCTGCCCGAGCTGTACGGCTTCGTGGCTCGGGTGCTGCTTTACCTGGCGCCCGTCTACCTGGCTGGTTACCTGGGGCTGAGCCTCACCTGGCTGATCCTCGGAGCCTTCCTGTGGATGTGGTGGCGCAAGAACCGGCGCTGGAAACACTCGCGCCTAGCCGCTGCCTTCGAGTTCTTGGACAATGAACGACAATTAATCGGCAAGGAGCTCCGGGACCAGCAGCTGCCTGCTTGGGTGAGTGAGCCGGGCTGGAGCTGCAGGGCACTGAGGTCCCGACAAGAGAGAAAAGGAGAGGGAAAGGAAGGAAGGAAGGAAGATACCAGCCACCGCCCAGGAGATTTTATAGCGTGTTAGAACTGGAAACCGACTTAGAAACCAGCTCTCTAAAGGATCTTCGAGAGGCCGGCTCTCTCTCTTATTTTAATTAAGGAAGGAAACTGAGGCCCAGAAAATGGGTGTGATCTGGCCAAGAACTCAGTCTATATAGGGAAGAATAGCAACTTGAACTTTGAGAGAGGGAAAGCGAAGGGAGCCTGCCTCAGCCTCCTGTTGTTTGGGTTTCCTTCCCACTCACATCTAACTAGTTCTGTTGTATAAATGTAATTAGCCTTTAGTTTGGTTTGCTTTGCTTGCTGGAAGGGAAAAGTTTCTCCCTTACAGAACATACTTTGCATTCATTCATTACGTATCCATCAGGCATACAAAGATGTGAGGCTCTCTGGGTTCTCAAGGAGATTTCAGTCTAACTGTAACAGAAAGCATTTTCCATGAAGTATCTATTGTAAAGGCAAGGTGTGCTGGGAGATGAGAGGAGGGAGAGATTGCTCCCGGTTCTTTGGGTGACGCTCCTTAGCTCCTCCCTCTCTGGGAGCAAACACCTCCTCTTAGTTCTTTCAAATCTTAGGGCTTCTTCCCCATTCCTTGCTACTGTAAAGGCTGGCCCCAGTGTTGTTCTCCCCACCTCCAGTTCATAGAATTATATTGGAATTAGAGTTTGAAAAGATCTTAGAGGTCATTTAATCCAACCCCTTCATTTTTGGTATGAACAAACTGAGACCCAAAAGAGGGGAAATGACTTTACCAAGATCATACTCAAGATCCCGAAATAGTAGATGGAAGAGCTTCAAACCTGACTTCAAATTCAGTGTTCTTTCTACTATGCATCACAGGCCTCTTATGTCAGGCAGAAATAGGAAACTTTTTTGGAGGGCGGGGGAACTGAGGGCCTCTGTATCATAAAAGACAAAATCAGTAGTGGGTAACACTCAAGTAAAAACAACAACACCAACTTTCAGCTAAAATTATTGTTGTTGTTTTTTTTTAATGGGAAATCTGAAACATTTATACCAGCTATTTAAAAAAATAATCAAAGGAAATAGACTTTCATAAATATGACTCCCCCAAAAATCTCAATTTGATGGTATAATCAATTATAGGACTGAGATAAAAAATAAAGCAAAGGGGCAGCTAGGTGGTGCAGTGGATAGAGCTAGGGCCTTGGAGTCAGGAGGACCTGATTTCAAATCCAACCTCAGACACATAACACTCACTGGCTGTGTGACCCTAGGTAAGTCACTTAACCCCATCACCTCAGCAAAAAAAAAAAAAAAAGCAGAGATGGAGAGGAAGGGGATAAACAAAACAAAACACAACCCAAAACAGGTAATCTGTGGGTTTGGATGGAGGCAGGCAAGAAAAGAAGAAAGAGAATCCATTTCCTTAAGTGCCCATCTTCCAGGTCTAACTTAAAAAAAATTATTAATTTATTTTGAATTATCAACAATCACTTCCATAAATTTTTGAGTTTAAAATTTTTCTCCCACTCCCTTCCCTCCTCCTTCCCCAAGATGGTACGCAGTCTGATACAGGCTTTACATATACATTCCTATTAAACATATTTTCACATTAGTCACGTTGTAAGGAAGAATTAGAACCAATAGGAGGAACCACAAGAAAGAGGAAACAAAACAGAAGAAAAAAGAGCAAATAGTTTGCTTCAATCTGCATTCAAACTCCATAGTTCTTTCTTTGGATGTGGATAGCATTTTCCAACAAGAGGCCTTTGAAGATGTCTTAGATCCTTGTATTGCTGAGAAGGGCTAAGTCTATCATAATTAGTCATTGCACAATGTGGCTGGTACTGTGTACAACATTCTCCTGGTTCTGCTCACTTCACTCAGCATCAGTCCATACAAGTCTTTCTAGGTTTTTCTGAAGTCTGCCTGCTCACCATTTCTTACAGCACAATAGTATTCCATTACATTCATATACCACAACTTGTTCAGCCATTCCCCAATTGATGGGCATCCCCTCCATTCCCAATTATTGGCCACCACAAAAAGAGCTGCTATAAATATTTTTGTACATGTGGGTCCTTTTCCCATTTTTATGATGTCTTTGGGATACAATGTTAGAAGTGCTATTGCTGGGTCAATGGGTAGGCACATTTTTATAGCCCTTTGGGCATAGTTCCAAATTGCTCTCCAAAATGATTGGATCATTTCACAACTCCATCAACAATGCATTAGTGTTCCAATTTTCCCACATCTTCTCCAACATTTATCATTTACTTGTTTTATCGTGTTGCCCGATCTGATAGGTGTGATGTGGTACCTCAGAGTTGTTTTGATTTGCATTTCCCTAATCGATAGTGATTTAGAGCATTTTTTTCATATGACTATAGATGGCTTTAATTTCTTCATCTGAGAACTGCCTGTTCATATCCTTTGACCATTTGTCAATTGAGGAATGACTTGTATTTTTATAAATTTGACTTAGTTCTCTATATATTTTAGAAATGAGGCCCTTCTCAGAGACTGTGGTTTTAAAAATTCTTTCCCAGTTTTCTACTTCCCTCAGGTCTAGCTTTGAGAGAGAGGTATGGGATGATGCCAGATGCTATAACCTCCCTCTACCCACCTCCCCAGTGTTCCACCTCCTTACCTAACACAACTTTATACTCTGCTGGGGTCCTATTGACACACCCAGCTCTTACTTCTCACTTAAATCTTTCCCCTCAAAATGCCAAGCAAAACTGAGGTAAGGATGACCCCTTGTAAGTCCTTAGGACCTGCGTCTTCTCACACAGTTGTCTTTACTGATATTTACTATAGAGGTAGGGGAGTGGCCAATAGACAATTTTATCCAGTCGAAGGCAAGTGTTCTAAAAGGGCAAAAGGTTTTCCACCCTTAAGGTAGGATCATAGCTTCAGCATCATCCAGTCACCTTTGTTTTGTGGAGTTTTCTCCCTAAACGAATCTGCCATGTAGTTCTTTCGATCATGTATACCTTGGATTTTGTGGTTGGGTGACTGTCTGGGTGAGACTGTGTAACCCTGAAATATTCCTTCTTGCTGAAGTTAAAACAAATGTCTAATATCAGTATCATCCTAGGAGAGGACAGAATCAAGTCCAGATGGCTACTCAGGGGGGTTTTCCTAAACTATAATGACCCATGTGATCAGACCTATTTTCAAAACTATGGGGAAAAAAGACCGGCAATTGATCAATAAACATTTATTAATTACCTACTATGTGCCAGGCACTGTGCTAAACTCTGAGGATAAAAAAAGAGGCAAAAGACAGTCCCTTCAGTGAGCTTACATGCAAACAAATATATAAAAAAGCAAACTGTATACAGGATAAGTAGGAAATAATTAACAGAGGGAAGGGGGGTTGGAGAAGACTTCCTGTAGAAGGTGGGATTTTAGTTGGGAAGACATGGAGGTCAGTAGTCATAGGAAAGGAGGGAAAGCATTCACCTAGGACAGCCAGACAGAATGTCCAGAGCCAAGAGGATGCTCCTAAGCCTTGCCTTTATATATCATTAGCATTCTTCTAGAGGGGGATAAAGTACAAAAGATAAAGTGACACCCTGGATACCCTGAGCCCTGTATGATGTGATCATAGATTAAGAAAGGGAAGGGACCTTGAAGGTCATCTAGTCCAGAACCCTTGTTTTACAGATGAGGCAACAAAGGCCCATAGAGATTAAGTGACCTGTCCAAGGTCACACAGGTGCTAAGTGCCAGAGTCAGAGTTCAAACCAGGTCGTCTGGCTCCAAATATGCTACTCTTTCTACTACTGCATCCCACTAAAAGTTATTTATGGGGATACACATGCACTTGATCACCAAAATTAAGAGTGATTTTAGGGCAAATAAAAGGAAAGACTTCTTTACAATGTGTGTGGAAAATGTATGGAATCCTGTTTCTTAAAGAAGATATTGATATAGAGGCCAAAAGTATAAATAAGTAGGTTCAAGAATAGTTTGGATAAATGTAGCAATAATAGGTCCATAATGTAAGCACAGTACATAAAACACAGTAGATTGAGGGCAGGCCTGGAGTCAGAAAGACTCATCTTGAGTTCAGATCCGGCCTCAGACACTTACTAGCTGTTGATCCTGGGTAAGTCACTTCACCCTGTTTGCCTCAGTTTCCTCATCAAAGGACCCTTCCAGCCCTCTAATCCTACCTCCTACACAATGTGGGAATCCCCTCTGCAAAAGACATTTCTGACAAGGGATCATTCTGCTTTTCCTTGGACTTTTGGAAGTGAATATATATATATATATATTTTTTTTTTTCCATCCAACATATCTTCTTCCCTGGTTTGCTCAGGCTGTTGGCATTCCTGGTACACATGTGAAAAGTAAAAATAACAATATGAGGCAGTAACTGAGTGTCAAAGGAGTGGTGCATTGACCAGAGGCAGGAGAGAACAGTGTGAGCTGGCAGTAGTGAGGGGAAGGCTTCGGTCTTAAAGCAGGTGAAGTTTGAAAGATGACTGGGATTTGGTTTGACCTGGATGATGCCCATATGTCAGTCTCTGAAATAATGAGGAGTTACCCATCTAGTTTTTCTAATTTGGGAGTTCTCAGGGAGAGAAAAAACAATAATAACTCACATTAATATAATACTTTTAAAGCAAGAGTTTTTCACCTGGGGTCCATGGAACTCCAAGCTGTCCATGAACTTGGATAGGGAAAAATACATCTTTAGGTCAATTGATTTCCTTTCCTGTGTATTTTCCTTTCCTGTGTATTTTATTTTATGCATTTAAAACATTATTCTGAGAAGAGATTTTTAACCTTCCACCAGACTGCTAAAGGGCTTCATGACACAAAGAAAGTTAAGAACTTCTGCTTTTAAAGGTTGCACATTAGCTCATTTGAGAGTTAACAACAATCCTGTGAGGTGATTACTACAGATATTAAACTCATTTTACAGAT